GGATTCATAAAGCAAAGGACAGTTTGCCATGTCAAACTAATCCTTCAAAGAAACAATGGACAATACCGTAAAAATAGACGAATAGGTTATAAGAAAGTTTGAAGTTACATTATGAAAAAAAAGCCAAGCTAATAGAAATAAAGGATGAGATTTCAAAAGTTAGAAGGTTAAAAAAGTTAGGAAGCTGATCATGCAGCTTGTTCATAAAGTACATGGAAAATATCAACTTTAAAATAGAAAAAAGTATCTAAGAGGAAAATGTTCTAATGCATTATAATCATCCCAAGTCTTCAACTTCATCAGTGTGTTTTCACTACAGAGTACTTTCACTACAGTGTACTTTCACTACAGAGGACAGTATTAGGTCAGAGACTGAGTTTATCTTCCAAGAGATCGTTTTCAGAACACAGAATAAGGTCAAGTGAGTACAGGAGAGCTTTTAAAGAACCCAGAGACTCTAAGATTTATGCTCTTGTAAAGTTCAGAAAGCTCAGGATAAAGGCTAAAAGAGGAGCTGGATAGTCTTATGGTTTATAAACTGTTGAATAAGTACAAGAAGCAGCACAATGGATACACTTGCTCATCAGTGAGAGACAAGAGCATGGACTCTAAAATAATTAAATATGAAACAATAGAAAATTTCCAGCAATAGCAAGTGGAGAAGCCACAAGAAAAAATTAACTATCTTTCCCATCATCAGATACCAAGTAATTTCCCCTAGAAAATATGTGTGTATGTGTGTAAGACCTCATCATTTTGCATCGCCATTTGAATTGTCTAGCACAGAAGGTATTTTCTTATATAATAAAACTACTTTAGGATGCCTTGAAAGGCAGCACAGCCTACAGATTAGATGATAAGGGAAGAAAAATAATCATTAGGATCACAGGAATCATTTTGAGATTGACACCAAACTGTACCCGTCTACATAAAACGGTTTAAATTCTCAATATAATCAATGCTTACTATAGGCAATAAAGCATAGAGAGCAATTCAGTTGATCAGCAGGTTTTGGGAGAACTGAATTTCTCACTGGACTCCACTGATTTACTACTGGGATCTGCAGTAGGAACTTAGGCATGTGCAGGTACCTACAAGCACACAAGACCATTTCAGTGTCCAAATCTCAAACCAAATCCCACTAGTAGATGCTAGAAAAAATAAGGGATGAATGAAAACATCAGTATTATGAAAGAACTAAGGTTCCCTCAGAGACAGACAATGCACTAGAACAGCAGTTATTTAGAAAAAAAAGACTAATTTAAGGAAAAAAAAAAAAATAATATGTCATGGACACTGTGAAAAATGTGCTTTAGCCTCCGTGCATTTTGGTGGAATATTTGAATTTCATGCTAACTGAAACTCAGTTTAAACCATATACTGTCATCAGGAAAGATGGGGATGGAAGTACCAATGAGAGTCCAAGCCCCACTGATCGTTTTGGGAGAGCAACCTCAGTTCTTCTCCAGTTCTGGTGGTTACAGCACTGGAAGATGGGGAAAGAAGGGTGATAAGATATTCAGAAGAAAGGAAACAAAGAGAGGAAGACGAGCAAGATCAGAAAGCCAAGAGGCCTCATGACAGCTTTTACTGCCTTAATCAAAACTGCTTTTTAACTATTTTGGCACAGAAGACAGAGACTATTTTTCACAGATACATAGTATGATTGAGAATTTGATACAGTAGGGGATGGAGGAAAAAGAAGGCTGAAAGCTGTAAATGTACCAACTAGATAACCAATTAAATGAAAGTACATGGAGAAAAGTCTATGGCTACTTTATGTTTCACGTCAATAGTTGAAATAAATAAAATAATAGCAAAACCTCTGTGGCTTGGAGTGACTAAACTATTGCTAAAGATGTGCCAATGAAATAGAACCACAAGTTAATTAAGGAGATATTGCCACAATGGTATCTTCTTTAGTCACTATTATCACTTTCATAAGAAGCTCAAGTTTTAGATGAACTTTTGGTGACAAGTCTGGCAAATTTTAAGGTATTAAGAAAACTGTATTAAAAGCAATTCCTGATAGGTATATATTGGGAATTTAAATACCTGACAGAATGGATGATTACACCTCATACTGAACTAAAGGGAACAACCATATTCAGTAAGTACTTAATAACTGGATGGTGCAATTCAAAGGACAGTGTCCACATCACTGGAGAAACAAAAATGAACCCCTTTGAAAGCCATGAAATATATTAAAAACCACAACTATTTGATTATGTGATAAAATCTTGTCTGCAAACACACAAAGGAGTACAGACAGAGTATGGCAGGTGGGGGAAGTCCAAATAACACCCTGCCCAGTTTCAGCAAAGGGGACAGGAGCCTATTGAAGGCCTCATCCCCAGTGTCCAGGTGTGAAACCCATTCTGATAAGAAAATGGCAGAGTGCCTTTTGGACTGAGTAGGGGTCACTGCCTGGCAGCATGGAACACATTATGGGATGTAGTTTTGGATTGGGCAGGACTTATTACGAGATGGTTAGGGGAAGAACCAAAAACGGGGAAAAGGATTCAGTGATTTGGAGAGGAACAACTAAGGAAAAATAGAGGGCTAATGGGATTAAAAGGGTTTGGTCGCATGTAAATAGTTTTCTGGTAAGTGTGCTTGTCCAGCTGCTGGAGGCATCCACTGTACATATATTCTCATACATATATTCTCATGAGTGGATCTCCACCCTGCTCAGCTAGAGAGGGGGTCAGGATGAGGCTGTTGGTGTTGTCTGTGTCTGTGCGAGTGCTCTGTATGTCAGCATGTGATTTGCGTGGTTGGTCATGTACATAAGTGTATACATATATATGGGTACATGTAGTGTATATGGGTGCTCTGCGTGCATATGTTTACTGGGCGTACATCTTCACCTTAACTACTGGTTGGACCTGGGGGCACAGAGCTGCAGCGGCCTCCCCTCTCTTGGGCTTTCAGACCCAGCTCAATATATCTTCCCACAAACAAAAAACAAAGTAGACGATGCCTTACAGTGATAGTGCTAAGTTTTTAGTTAAAAATTACACTACCTGTAAGTGTAAGGCTGCTGATGATTTATTTAGACATAGGCATTTGATAAAAGTAGGTTGAAAATCTGTATTTTATTAACTTTGATGGGCTTGGGAAGAAAGATACAGATCATAGTTTTCAGAATTTCTTGGAAGTAAAAGCACTGATTTTGCAGCATAAAGCTCATTTTACACAAAGCAGATAAACTGGAGTTGAGCCCACTTCATTTATTTGTATTAATCTAAAAGTTAAAGGAGCTTCTTTAGGGTCTTCATATTATGGAGCATTTTTAGGATGGGTGGAGACATCCTCTCCTTACCTTGTCTATCATGGAAGCTCCAACAAAGCTGATTTTTAAAGAGCTAAATTTGAAATCGGTGCCACATTAGAAGCTAGATAGAGAATGGAAAAGATCTGTCAATGTAGTTGCACTGTAAAGGCTAAGATAGGACTCATATGCCAGGTCATCTTTCTATGGTTACTCTTGTTGTTACTGCTGCTGGGCACAGACTGAAGTTAATTGCCACTAAATAATTTATACTAGTGTACAGTTTAAATAATAATGTAAAAATCCTATGGAAATAATATGTGTCTGCCTCTTTTTCTCAATAAGTGCATTCAAAAATAAATATTAAAAAAACCCAACCAAACAAAAAACCCCAAACCAAAATGCTCTTAATTACATGCTTGAACTTCTGGTCAGTCCTGAAGTGGTCAGGCAGTTGGACTAGATGATCGTTGTAGGTCCCTTCAAACTGAAAATATTCTATTGTAAAAACCAAACCTCAAACCTTACAAGAATGCTTTTTTTCCCAGCAAATAATCTGGGATATAGCGTGTTACAGAATTTAGACTGTGCATGGATCTTCGGAGGAATTAAAGTCTATTACATAGCATACTGGAAAACCATCACAGTATTCTTTCCCAAAGGCAAGTTTCATTTTAATATTAGTTTCTGACTCTACTACTCCTTTCGTAATGATGTCATGGTTTAATGTTATTCAGCCTACTTATTTTCTCTCCCCCCCTAATTTATACCAATTGATTCTCAGGTCAAAATTGGTTTTAGCTGCAGTTCGTTCTTGGTTCTAGTGCTGTCCTCATCCCTCGACTTCTATTTTTCATGGGTTTATGGTCACACTTAAAGATATGGCCAGCTTTCTTGTTATCAGTCAAAACTGCCTAAACATTGTTTTCAATTCTCCGTGTACAGGTAAACTCTCATGTTTTTTTAACCATAATAGTGCATTGACATCATTATGTAATTTGGTGTAAAGAGCTCTCACTGTGTCTCAGTTGCTGAAGTTGTGAAACTGCATTAAAACAATATGTTCATTGACATCCACTGAGTAAATAAGATGCCCTTTTTAATGTCTACAAGTACATCTCATTTACTTTCTTCAAGGTAAAGTTAGCATGAACACAGAAAGCAAAGCACTCCCCCCACCTTTAGTGGAGGGGGACTGAAGTACTTCGCACTGACATTCTGAAACTATACCTCTTTTCAGCAAAAATAACTCTTATCTCATAAAATCAAAATGGAATTGCTTTTCATTTTGGTCATCTTCACAGCTTCCCCTCTCTCTACACCCACTTTTTTCTCATACTTCTACATTTCCCCCTTGATTCTGCTGAACAGCGCTAGACAAATTTCTGGATCCATTGATGTTTTTCTTCATGTACAGGCTTTCAGATATAAACACTTTACTAAGAGCAAGGCTCACACAAAACATAGCTACCTGCACCTACATTGTACCCAAAGAGGTAAATTGGAATGGCTAGTGATGAATACACCTGGGCAAATTCTTTCATCTTCTTCTACAAAGTCTGCCTGCCACCATAAAGTGATCAGCTGAATAACTTACATTTGATTATATAATTCCTCTCATTTCAGTCAAAAAAGGGGGAAAAAAAGGATTTTGCATATAAAAAGGATTAAAAGTTCATTGATTTTGATTTTACTATTGTTTGAAAAGAAAAATATCTGATCCTACCTCTTCACAGGCGGTCCTGAAATCCATGTGCTATGACACAGCAAGTGATATTTGTCTAAAATGGAGAGAAAGATTTCATTAGAATGAAAAAGATATTGCAAAACATAAAAGTTATCTATCTCAGCTGAGCAACTGCACTTCTCTTTATTAGGTCCAGTTATAGTCATTGCTTGAAAAGAGAAATGATCAAAGTTGCAACAGGATTAGGAAGTGTAAGGTGTTAGAAGTTGTTCCTGGTTCTTATAAAGTACACATTTCATTGAATATAATCAAAGGAATGCTTATGTTCCCACAACCTCCTCCCTTCCACAGGGCATTCAAACTTACTCTTCTTATTGCAAGTGTAAATTTCTTCTTTTGTGTTTTTTTTTTTTTTTCTTGATATTTTGTTTTGTGGGGTTTTTTTTCTTTATTTTTTTTCCAAAAGTAAGAGTATACTGGAAAGTAGCAGAAATGAAGACAATTAAGTGTTGCTCTTCAGAATACCCTTTCTCTTCTAAAAGGCTTGGTTTTTTACTTTTCTCCCCTAATTAAAAACCATCATTCATCAATACCTTTTGTCTCACATTTTATTAACACGTAATCTCTCCAAGGAAGCCAGTGTCATTTAACAGTGTGCCTACTTTGCAGAAATATTTATGAATTGAAAAAACAAATGCTAGAGAAGTCAGGAATATGTCTGAGTGCTGGCAAAATGTCACACCAAATCCTGTGATTATTACTTTGCCTGGCCTTTACTTAAAGTATATTCACCCCAATGCACACTTATGCATTCATTTATTTATGAGATAAAGCTACTGGAACAGGCTGTTAGCAGAGGGTAATAACAGTGTCCTGCTGCTGATTCTGCAATAGAAATAGTCATGCATCAAAAAATAACATTGCCATGAAACACTTCCTGGGCAAAACAGTCATTTCGTTCAATGGATGGAAAAACAAAACCTATAACAAAATCCTCTCCATTAAGCATTTATTTCTATTCTGTATTAATTATGTTCTTACAATTATTTGTACAAATATAGTACTCAAAGATTCAACACAGAATTTGCCCCATTAGCCTAAGTTTAAAATAATATTAAGAAACCATACCTCACATAGTACAAAAATATAACAATAATAATAACAATAATAACAATAACAACAACAACAACAACAACAACAACAACAACAACAACAACAACAACAACAATAATAATAATAATAATAATAATAATAATAATAATAATAATAATAATAATAATAATAATAATAATAATAACTTAATTAAGTCTCTCAATTTGTTTTGCTGTCCTGGATGCAGTTTTATTAAACCCAAGCGCATGCACACATACAGGGTTAATGTTCTGTATTTACTGAGCTCTGCCTGATTCACAGCCTGTGCTCTAGACTAATTTCTAGCAGAGCTAGCCTAGGTTGGCTAGGTTACAATGCAGGAATTTAAAAGGGACCCATCGTCATTCCTTCCCTATCAGCTTTACAAGTGCACCATAGATGCAATAAAGAACTGTATCTGTAATTCTGCTCTCAAAGTGCTTATAAAAAACAAGGTCACTATTACAATCTTGAAGACTTTTCCCTTGGGTGGAACAGTTATTGTGCAATGAAGTATGTTTCCCTGTAATTTTTATGAACTCTCTTTCCAGGTGCTGAGTAAGCTGAAGTGAGAAAGAGGCTTTACTCACTTTAGCAAAGTATTCTGAGGACTTCTGAAGCTATAAATGTATGTATCTTGAAAACATAAACTTAAGTACTGCACAGTGTTCCCCTTTCTTGGGCTCTGATTATGTCAGGTCAGTAATTCCTACTGCAGTCAAAAGTGTATTCACTTATGTTATGTTCTGCCCTATTAATGAAAGTTATGAGAAGTCTGGGTTTAGACAACTTTGGTTCCAGAGTCAATGAAAATTCCTCTTTGTTTCTTTCTTAGCTACTCTTTGATCTAAATCCTATCTAATCCAGGTCATTTCCACAACTCAGAATTACTCAATTTTCTTCTTTTTGCTTTTATGTATGATGCATTTATTTACTTATTTCAGAAATATTCATATTACCACAAAGGAGAACAGTCAAGAACAACAAGGCTTTGCAGCATTATAGCTGATTGTATATACACCTCATGATCTAAAATAACTTCTAATTCTGCTCAGATAATAGTTCAGCAATCTAAGAAGTATGAAGCTTCACATGAATACCAAATTCTTTACCGAAAAGCCCTTTAAAACCCTTTTTTTTTTTTAACACTTTAACCCCCCCCCCCCCCCCAACATTTTAAACACCACTGCCATTAATTATAGTATGCTTAAAATTATTTCTGAAAGGCAGGAGCCATAGTTGTCTGTCCCATGTCTTGAGGACTGTTATTGCAAACAGAATCATTGACCTTCAGACAGTCTAAATATGGCTATAAATATTGCCATACAATATTGCCAACAAACACCTGTTGGTACTTGGTGAATCTACCTGCTAGTCACCTTGGCGATACTTCCTTTTTTCCCCTACATGCTAAATTACAAATAGGTAAAATAAAATATACAACACTCTCCTGACACCTGTCCCCTATTGAAATAACTTCTCTAGTTCCCATAGAAAGGTTACACATGGTTTCCTCTGAGAAAGCTGCTTAAAGACAATTTTTCATGATCTGTGACAAGAAATTTTACTATTAAAATACTGTTTAAAATGTAAACCTGGAACTACGTAATTGTCAACACAAAATCATATTCATTGCAATGAGTGTACCTGTTTCTCAGGCATTCAACAGCTCAGTTACTAATCTTTGCACTAGAGATTCAACTGCTTCTGTATCTCTCTATTTCCTACCGATTCTCATCTGCAGCTGCACACAGAGAAATTAAGCCCATTATCGATGTTCTTTTTCTATCAGTAGTTTCATAACATTTGATATTTTAGAAACAGTACATAGAAGGTTTGATTACAAAATCCATTACCTCATAAATCAGCCCAGAAACTTCACTGTTTCCAGCATTTACACCCTGAATAAACACTCTAGATTATTAAATTACAGGAATACATATCATGCATCATGCGGAATTTTATGATCTTATGCTGGTAAAATGCCCCAATGATTAATAATTGTCTCTTCCTGTAATACATGAAAAAAGAAAATATAAAAAAGCGAGTCATTTTAAAAATAAAACATTTGTGAAATGACAAACTCTGAAACCCACTGCTGACAGATATCCCTGATCAGCCTCTGGATACCCTCTGCAACCCCTTATCTCCAAATCACAGCCACCATCACCCAAGCACCTTTCCAGCCGTCCTAGGAGCTTCCTTCAGGCTCAGTAGACAACCCACTGGTTACTCTTCAGACTGAGTATCTTATATTTTTTTGTCCCTCCCCATCCGTAGGTTGTTTTAGAACAAACTGTGCTCCAGAAGGTGCCTGTGGATTTGAAGGGAGGAGGCTGCAGAGAACACAGCCACAGTGTCAGGACCGGGTGGGGTGTGCAAGCACAGGGGGAGGCATGAGGGGCATGCTTTACTGAAAGGATGGTCCAACAGCAGTGAGGCTTCCCCTGAAAGGCTTGGGAACCACTGCCATCAAAGATAATTAAACAAGCGAGCTTTGAAAAGTTACTTTCCTTCCTTTTGACCTGATTTCCGATTTGTATTTCCTCCAAAACTGAGTTTCCAAACTTATTTAGCTCATCGCTGCTGATAGATGTAAAGGAAGTAACACAACAGACAGGTTGGGAACAGAATTTGACACCCCCTTGACAGAACAAGCAGTTATTCAGTACGGAAGAAACATTTACCGAGCAGCATTATTACGGCATTTGCGTTCTAAAGGGAAATCAATGGCTAAAACATAACAGTAAAGTTGAAGGCTATGGCAGCCTCCAGAGACAAAGCTTCATTTAGGATAATGCACTGGGCACTTCAGCTATGCTCTGATCTTCTTATAACAAATCAGGTCATATTTCACTGGTATAATAGATGTAATTTCACAAAGTACTTCCATGATTGAATACTACAGTATACTTAATAAAACAAGATAGCAAACAAATTTTCATGTGCATGCAATAGTACTAAGAGTCATCTTGCAAAGTCTTGGGAATACCACAAGCCAAATAAAATACTATTGAAGCAATAGTAGCAAACACTTAATTTTCACAGTTACTGGTGCAAAGTAAGAATGCAATATTGTATGCACAAATAACAAGTTCATGGCAAAATGATGTATTAACAAATGCAATTTAATTTAGCATATGATATCACTGCAGCTTGTTTACTTAGTTGATGGAGATAAGTCACAAGAAATTCTTATTGTCTGTGAACTCTGAATTGCTGAGAATCAGACTAAAACCACATTTCAAATGTACAAATATCAGACCTGCAACTAATCGTGATTGTAGTTCAGTGCTAAACTTTGTGATTGCCTTTTAAAGTCCTTCTCCTACCTCCAGTCTTACAGACATGTTTTGTGCTCTACATTTTGGAGTCGGCTAAAGGAAATTGTATCTGTCATTTTTGTGTGTGTTACAAAATTAAACATACGCATTTGTAACTCTAGAGGGGCTTTTTGTTTGTTTTTTTTTTTCAATAATTAAAAAAAAAAAAAAAAAAAAAAACAAAACAAAACACAAAAAGAAACCCCAAACCATCTTTATTGTAAATAGGGAAAGAAGGCTTAGAAATTACCCTTCCACATAGCATAGTTGGTCCTTTGTGCGTAAAGGGAAAGAAAAATATTTTTGGGAAAAAGGAGGCATTACTATAAATGCAAATTCCATGAAGGCATATTCATTCCATCCTGTTTGCCACACGGTGTTTATTACTGGAAAAGCGGTCAGAGGCATGCAGACAGCACAGTAAATCAAAGGAGGAGTTTAGTAACCACAGATTAATAAAACCCTATTGAGTTACTGTTTTCTGACATACTTGAATTATATTTTGTTTTAAGACTGAGTTACTTACATTCAGTTAATAGATTGATTTTTAATAATTTATTTTAGTAAAATATAGGACTCATCTGGTGAAAAATTACTGAATGATCTGTGAATACACAGTCTCCAGATCCAAACACTGCCT